TGAACTCGAACGGGCGGAGGATCGTGAAGTCCACAGTGCCCCTGTATTCTTTTCGAAGCCACGTCTCAAACACCTCGATGTCTGCATAGATGTTGTTGAGGATGCATGGCTTCACAAACCTTCGGAAAAACCAACCGGCGTTGGGGTGGTCGTGGCAAGAGGTGATTGCGATCAGCCTCTTGACCCCTTTTCTCTCCATCGCCTCTATAATGCGCGCGTACCCCTGTGAGAATATGACCGTCTTCTCTTTGATCCCGTCGGATCCTGTACATCCAAACACCACGTCCTGCCCGACCAGCGCGTCCTCATAGGTCTTGGGGTCCAAAGCATCTGCCTTGATCCACTTGATCTTCGGTTGCTTCTTCATAGCAGCTTCAGGGTTGCGGGTCACGCCGGTGACCTGGTGTCCTGCTTCAAGGCACTTGTTGACGACCAGCTGGCCGATTCTTCCCGTTGCTCCAAAGACCAAAACATGCTGATTGCTGCTCGCCATGGGCAAGTTGCACTGTGTGTTAGGTGCTGCCCTCCGAGGCTTTTTATGCGTGAGGTGCTGTCTACGACACCGGTGGTATTTCCATTCAAATCGGCTATAAGGTGCGGTGGGGTACTTCGAACTCTTGGGGGGATGACTGCTGGCTTTACCAGCGGGGCCCTGAAAGATAGCTTTACTACTGAGTTGACGCCAAGGCTCTCGCCCCCTCTCATCCCCGTGCATCCCCTCCTGTCCCACTGCAGACATTGCTGCAGCTATTGACATTTGCTGCAGATTGCTGCAGACATTGCAGCTGCAGCAATGTCTGTTGCATTGAGTAGTAAACCAATACTTTTACAGTAGGCTACAATGCCACTGATGCTGTGACTGTTCTATGGTACAAAAAATAACCCCCCTCCCCACCCCCCCGTCTTATATATAGAAGAAGTAAAGAGTAGTAAGCGAAATCGAATTTTCCTGGTACTAATTTTACAACACAGGGGATTTCTATCAAAAGTCAATAATAAACAATAATAAACAAAATCTTTTGCAGAAACATACCAGCAGGGTCCTGAAGTGGGACAGGAGGGGGTGCAGGAGTGGGACAGGAGGGGGTGCACGGGGATGAGAGGGGGCGAGAGCCTTGGCGTCAACTCAGTAGTAAAGCTATCTTTCAGGGCCCCGCTGGTAAAGCCAGCAGTCATCCCCCCAAGAGTTCGAAGTACCCCACCGCACCTTATAGCCGATTTGAATGGAAATACCACCGGTGTCGTAGACAGCACCTCACGCATAAAAAGCCTCGGAGGGCAGCACCTAACACACAGTGCAACTTGCCCATGGCGAGCAGCAATCAGCATGTTTTGGTCTTTGGAGCAACGGGAAGAATCGGCCAGCTGGTCGTCAACAAGTGCCTTGAAGCAGGACACCAGGTCACCGGCGTGACCCGCAACCCTGAAGCTGCTATGAAGAAGCAACCGAAGATCAAGTGGATCAAGGCAGATGCTTTGGACCCCAAGACCTATGAGGACGCGCTGGTCGGGCAGGACGTGGTGTTTGGATGTACAGGATCCGACGGGATCAAAGAGAAGACGGTCATATTCTCACAGGGGTACGCGCGCATTATAGAGGCGATGGAGAGAAAAGGGGTCAAGAGGCTGATCGCAATCACCTCTTGCCACGACCACCCCAACGCCGGTTGGTTTTTCCGAAGGTTTGTGAAGCCATGCATCCTCAACAACATCTATGCAGACATCGAGGTGTTTGAGACGTGGCTTCGAAAAGAATACAGGGGCACTGTGGACTTCACGATCCTCCGCCCGTTCGAGTTCAAGAAAGGGAAGGGCGGCAAATACGTCATGGCGGAGTCCTACACCGCAGAGTCGACAGGCTGGAATTACAAGTCCATAGACGTGGATGTTGCAGATGCCATGTACGAGGTTTTCAAAAAGAACTTGTACCTGAAGAAGTATGTGGACGTCGGCAACAAGAAGGGCTAAACTTGCAATCACGGTGCAATGCAACGGTTGCATCGCATAGCATACCATAGGATGACATTTGACTGCAAGGAACTCAATGAATATGTAGATGCTTCTTTTGCTTTTGCTTTTCTATACTAGTGCTTCACTCCACACCTGATGTAGCACGGACTTAGTATGGCTTCATAAAAAGATGTGCAAATGATACTTGTGATCTCTGAACCTGCATCCCACTGACGAGTCCACGGCCACTTGAATGGAGCAAGTTGATGACACAGTAAGCAGGTGCACTTGTACCTCGTGTCATTTGTCTATTTGTCCAGCACTCGTCTCTTCATCTGTGGTTGCTCGCATGCCATACGAAGTAATCCGCCTTTGGCTGAAGATTGAGCAAAGTCGATGCTTGGACGTGATGTCGCTGCCGGGAGATCTCAAAACGTTCTCTCCCTTCATCAGCCTCCTAGTAGGCTGCTTCATCCTGAGGTCTGCAAGAATCGTGACCTATCCCTCCATGCCTCGTAACAACGCATGATTGACTCGTCACAGAGTCTGAAACGGTGATTAGGAACTAGCTCGAAAGAAAATCAAATGAAGGAAACCTACGATGAATCAGCCAAAGCCCTTCCAGCGGCTACCCCAGGGCCGATCACCATGCTGCAGCTCGGTTCCGAAGTTCCAGAAGCCTGATTGCATCCACTAAAGAGCAACAACTTCGGATGCTGTCTGCGATTCTTGCACAGCCGTGGGCGCTTCCTCGTTTGAGAACTTTCTGACGGTTCACTTATCTCAGCCGCTCGCCGCAAAGTTGCCAGCGTGCTCGCAGCCTATGTTCAGACACGATGGCAACCGGTGACTGTGCGACTGGCGCTCGGCACTGACCCCACGCTGTCTCCCGTTCCGGCGCCGGAATCGGACCTGGCGCCGGAACCGTTGAGCCGCTACGGTACCGTACGCCAAGGCCGCCACAGTGACCGTGAATAGACTTTATTTCAGATCAAACGGTCTCAAAGATGATTATCATCAATAAGCTACACCATCTCCTAAACATGTACTTGATTGATATGATACCTGTGCCACTCTGTGCATCGCATCCGGCATCATTCTTACAAAGCAATAAGATATTTTGCATAGTTCTCAGGTATTCTTGCTCATTGTTCAGTTCATATACGCCGTAGAAAGAAACAAAACCAAAACCTGTTGATAGCGCAACCTTCCTTCATGTTTCCAAGGAAAAATGAGCTGCAGCTATTGGAAACAGAAAGGTAGAGCTTTTATAACTCAATATCAAAGCGGATACCATCTCAAACACAAGACATAATCAATGAATCCACCTTGAAGAATCCTCTGCCACCCTGCGTCGATTTTGTACTACTGTAAGATTATTCTGGGATTCTGTTTGCCTCCCTTCTACGAATCATAAAGGTTACCATGCCACCCATGATTCCCAACTCTCCAACAGTTAAAATCCATGTCTTTGATACAAAGGCACATTCTTGGGATTGCTCTTCTCCAGATAATGATAATCATCAACTACTGCACCGTTTGACGAGTCTACTCTGTCTAATGTGTATTTCATCAACATTGAACCAATGCCCTGGCCTCTCAATGCCAACAATGTTCCAATCATGCTCAAATGCTTACGATGCTTGCCAAGCTTGCCATGTTCCTTTTCATATTCTGAAATGAATTTGCTACCCTTGGTTATTGTATCCATACACGATAATATATTTATTACGTATGCTGTTGCAGCAGCACTAATTGGCAGTGGTTTTCCTTGTTTTTTCCCTTCTTGAGGAACTAGTAAAGACCAAGAGGCTACGTACGCTGGCGAGGTGTATAATGCTAGAATCGAAGATGTGTACTGGACGTAGACGTACGGTACGTACAACACATTGGTATGATTGAAGCATGACAGTGAGGCTGTATAAACCGACACACATGTTTACTCATTGCTGTATTACGGGTTAAAGCCTGACCTCGACATACTAGTAAGCAACCCATCTTAGACGTTGGCCACGTCACGAGTCGTCAGAATGGGATTGCACGAACATTGACGTGTGTTCTCTTACTGCTGTACGGATGATAAACAAATCTAGCTTCATTGTTCATCTGTTCTACTCCTAAGTGCACTATCGCTCAGGCAAGTTGCTGGACTATAGTGGTGACCCGGACCGGCATCACTGGCCCGGCTCGGACCCCGGACCGGGCCGGGCCCGGCCCGGCCGGCGGGCCGGGCCGGAGTCCGGGTCGGAGGCTCACGGCCCGGTCACTGTTCACCGTGCCATCATGGCATGTTGGGCAAGTTGGGCGGCCTTCGGCACGGTCAGTGCGGCCGCGGTGAGTCGCCGCACTGCAACCTTCAGGCTTCCGGACTCCAGAGTCGGACGGTCCCGGGTCCCGGGCCCGCCCGGGCCCGGCGGCCTGGCCCTCAGCAGGGCCCGCGGCCCGGAGTCCAGTCACAGTGGACCGTCGGTCGGTCACGGTGTCGGACCGGGGCCGCTCGGGCCGCCGGGGCCGGGCGGTCCGATCCGAGTCACTGACGTGACTCGGAAGTGCGCCTCCCAGCGGCCGCACCGTCCGTAGGCCGCGTAGTATTACTAGTATCATTATCATTGCAAGTTTACTTCACATCATGGCTCGGGCCCATGTTTTAGCACCAGGTTTGAAGCTGAGCCTACTAGGGCTGTCCGGTATGACTCAATGAGGGAAGGCCTTCAATCAAGGGTTAGGATTGCAATCATTGTGCATGTAGTTCTGATGCTTCGACTGGCATTCTATCGTCCTTCCTCCTCCATTTCCCGTTGCCCCATCGTGCCAGGTTCCTGAGGAGGCCTGAAATGGAGAGATTGGCCCCAGGTAATCCACGCCATCCGTCGCATCGCCCTGTTGAAAGAGAATGACTCAGTACAGAAATCAAACAGTGCAAAACTGATTTCCAACTCACATCAGGACCGACGCCCCACTCATCATGAAGAGATTGCAGTGCTCTGAGCTTTGTTGCCAACTCTGTTCAAGTGCCACTAGTCACATATATCATTCGATTACATCGCAAAATGACAAGCAGCCGTCACTTAGTGATTCACGAGTTTGAAAATATCAGCTGAGTTGCTGCACTTGTTTGTCCAAGGAATGGGAATAATACTATGTACTTGCAAAGATACTGATGAGAATACAATGTTGTGTTGGACAGTGATAGAACACTGCTGAGAGGGTTGTGGAGAGTAGAAGGAACTGAGGCACAATCTTCTCTTATAGGCACATGAAAGGCAAACTTGGAGGGATATAGGTCTGCATGAACTTGAGTGCTCGAACTCAATCATTGTCTCATGACTCTGATTTGCAAGCCTGCAGAGGAAGGAAGGGGGTTGGGTTGGTTCAACGGTTTGCGTTTGACAGGTTTCAAGGTGAGGACACCCAGTAAGACTGAGCTCAGAGTGCCCCGAGGGGAGCAGGTGAGAGCAGCCAGGGGAACGAGAAGAAGAGAGCATGAGAGCCACGAGGAGGAGGGATTGAGGTCATCGGAGGGCCCCAAGAGGAGCATTTCAATCTTCTCACCGAACATCCCCATGGTGATCGCCCACCGTCCGCGAAAATATCTTGACCCGCTTTTCAATAATTTTTTTTTGAAGGGGATGTGTCGGCTCTCATCCGGGTCCTCTCCCGGCGACGGCGATCAGTACCTCAGTCTCGACTCTCAGCAGTCACTCACAGTCGGAGGGCCCTACGGCCCGGCCACGGCGCCGCGGGTGTAACAGACTGACTCAGCGGCCCTTGAAGGCGGCGCCGTCAACGGTTGCCCTCGTGTTTACTCAACTTGAGTTCAGCACGCGGCGGCGGGGCCCGTTTCAAGTTTCATTTTTGGCAAAGGGCCTGCGGCAGTCTCATCCAAGATTTACTCACTGGCAAACTTCCCGGCAGATCATACTATCACCCCAACAAACATAACCTCTACAATCACTATCACGACTGAGACTCTCATTCACCACGTTTCTGTCCTGCATATTACATCTTTCCCCCGGTTTCTCGTCCCTCGACTACCCCATCGGAAATAGCTCACACACCCTGATTGCTTCCGTCTCCACGCCTCTACCTCCTCCAGTAGCTCCTCCGCCCTCGGCCGATCCTCCGCCCTCTCCGCCCATGACCGCTTCATCACCTCCTGTAGCTCCCGAGGCATCGTCCGATCGCTCGGCACAGCAGGACGAAAATTGTGCGTTGCTGCCATCCTCGCTATCATGTAGCCGTCGATATTACAAAATGGATGGTCGCCAGCGAAGATGAACCACATCACCAGGGAGAACGAGTACACGTCCACCGCCGACGTGTACCGAGCCTCTTCCCGGAAGATCTCAGGCGCCATGTACCGGTACGTCCCCGTCGTCCCCGTCAAGTCGTATGACGAGCTTGCCTCATGGTCCGACGACAAGAAGTCTTGGTAGCCCGTGCGTCCACCCGGTGTAAGCGGCGCCTTCGGCGACGCGTGCGGACACATGCGACTAAGCCCGAAGTCCCCGATCTTGACCGTCCTCCCGTCCCCCGTCAGCAGCATGTTGGCCGGCTTGATGTCTCGGTGGATGACCGGCGGCTTCTGAGAGTGCAAGTACGCCAGCGCGCTCAGGATGTCCTCCACCCATGCCACCGCCCTCCTCGTCTTGGGCTGCCAGCGTCCGTCGCGTCGAGAGTGCTTCTTGGCCTCGTAGTACTGCTCCAGGCTCCCCCCGGGCATCAGTTCCATCACCAGCCAAGGCAGCCCGTCATGCTCGTAGATGCCGTGAAAGTCCACGACGTTCTTGTGCCGGAACGCGTGGCTCATCATGCCGATCTCCTTGAGCAGGTCCTTGCCCTCCTCGGAATGGACGTCGAGCTTGGAGCACAGGGTCTTGACGGCGACGACGGTTCCGTTGTAGAGGGCACTCCTAACCTCACCAGAGGAGCCTTGGCCGAGGATGTCTCCGACCAGGAGGGAGGACTTGCGAATGGCGAAGGAGCCGCAGCGGTCGAGGTCAGGCTGTTTGAAGACATTATGGTGGGAGGCGAGCTGAAGAAAGACAGGGCATTCTTCTTCCAGTGAACATGGGCGAGCAAACTTGATTTCAGGTAAGGAATTATCTCCGCTTGTTGTTGATCCCAGAATTACGGGCAAATTTTCATCAGTGATTTCGATCTTGATGTCATTTTTTCTTAAAACGATATCCTCCACGCTCAGAGATCTTTTGACGTCACGAGAGGAACTGATCTTTTCGTCGCTTTTTTGTCTCGCTTGATCGCTATGGCGCATCCTCTTCTCTTCTCAGGTGAAGAGCCCTCTTTTACCCCAGCATCGTTGTTCAACTGATGTGCTTGCGGGGGAACACAGAACTGAAACTCGAGCCTGGTCTCAAGTCAAAGAGGTTGAGGTCATTGGGTGGGGGTTTCAGATACTAGAATGGGGGGGTGGAGGCCTTCCCCGAAGTTTACTACACAAACTTAATCGGAGATGGGGTGAACAGGGGTGATTTACTGGTAAATAACAGGGGTGGGGAGTGGGGGGGGGGGTTCCAATTCCTGAAGTTAATACGGCGGCTCTTGGGAGTAAAGTGGCACTTCGGGGTGGGACGTGAGCGATAGAAATACCTTTGAGACACGTACCCAGACCTGTGGGAGATATCTTGAAGTACCTACCCTACCCTCCAGCCTCCCCGGGATTACACTGCCGCACTACCGTGCCCCTTCAGTCGTCACTGAGTTCCGAATCGGAAGTTCTGATCAGTCCGATCCGGCCCGGCTCGAGTCCGACGCCGGTGCGGCGGGCCGGGCCGGGCGGGCCGGGCCGGGCGGTTCCCGGGCCCGCTCGGGCCAGCCGGCGGTCACGGTACCGTAGTACCCGGTGACCGGACCTGAGAGTCTGTCGCAGTGCTGTCCGGCCACAGCCCGGAGTCCCGGTGCCAACTCGCGGCGGCGGCCCCCGGTGCCACTGGCTCGCGGCCGCGCACGGTGCCGCTTGCCGGGCAACCGTTGAAACGGTACGGTACTTGCCAGGCCGCTTACTCAGTAGCAGGCGGCACTGAAAGAAATGAGACTCTGAGGCATGATACATAGTCAGGAGATGGGCGGAAGTGATATGTGTTAACATCCGAGATTTAGTACTACATTTTATTCAATATTGCGAGGCACTAACAGATGGATGACTCTGACCGAGGCAAGGGTGCTGGCCATGCCAAGTGATGGTTGCCCGACAATCAGTTGTTGCTAGCAGGTCAAGCGCCGGGCGAGTCTTCCAGAGGTGAGAGAGAGAAAGAGAGGGGAATATAGGGGGGAAGGGACGGGGGATTTGGGAGGGGGACTTGTTAGTAGAGGATCTCAGTTCTTTCAGGCATCATGGTCCTCTGTCAAACTCCTGCCCTCGGCGTCTTGCCTTTGTGCCACAGCGGTGGTACCTATTCCATGCGATCAGAGCAATAATTGAAAATGAAACTAACCTTTGACAAGTTTGGATCTGCTTTCCCCTGCATCTGCTGCTGCTTAATTTGGATAGGGACCGGATCCAGAGAATGTCTCCATCTGTGTGGGGAAAGGTTAAACGGATGCACGTACTTGTTATATAGAACCTGTCGTCCCCAGTCCTGGATGAATCAAAGACGCTATCCCTGCTGAAAAGATGGATACTATGTTCGTGCGAAGGAGTGGAATCACCTTCCAGAGTACAAGCTATCATTCCCATCATTGTTTGCTTCCTCCTATATCAGCACCAACGAGTCAGGAGCTCATGCAATGATACAATATCCTTAACACTCATACCTGCTCGCATGCATCCACGATCATAGACGCCAAGAGGATCAGTGCAACGTCCACAGAGGCGGCAACATGAACAAAGTAGGAGTCTTTTGGCAGAGATGCGCTTGAACAAGCAGTCAATGACCAATTCATCTCATCCAGGGTAAGTGCTTACCTTCCGTCCACATTCCTTTCGACTCTTGCTATTCGCCTTTGGTCCCGTGATCGGAATTCATAAAACCTAGAAAAGCAATTTCAGCAAAAAATCTTCACAGTAGATTTGTGTTGATCGAGACAACAAGTTTCTCAACGAAACACACGGCAGCAAAAATTGATCACCAGTAATCACAACTGCTAAAGTCGCCGCCTATAATCAGCCTTGGTTCGGTACATCCGGCGTGATCCTCTGACGTCTATAAGACATGTCAAACCAATGAAACAAAAACTCGGCGAGGTTTGAAATACGAATCCCTGAAGATTCTTGTACAAAACATTCAACATATCCATCATTTCATTTACATGTTGTCCTTTTGAGCTCTCCTTTCTTCTGAGCTAAGAAGAAAATCCTGCACCCCTTCTCACATGAACGAACTGGTCTAGTTTTCCTCACAGCCTGTCTTCCTGACTTCCTGCTCACCCCTCCGTTCATCTTCCCATCTCTGTATAAATGCTATAAAGAATCAATTTCGGCGGCATTTACCTTTGAAGGAAAGGGCGCGTCATGGAGGTATACGTGATACGCTGGTCGGCCTTCAACATTCTGTAAAGGACATTTAGGACGTCTCTATGCGTAGTTGCCATTACCTCACGCCTTAGCGTTACTCTCCTTTCATGTGATACATAAATATGCCAGACACTCGAGCTCTTTTTCTCAATTTCACAATGTGGCGCTCCAGTATTCAAGACAAGCTTCTTTTTCCCCGTCCACTGTCGATACAAAGATATCATTACAAGACACATCTCTTCTGCTCTTCCCAATGTTTTGTATCCACACAAATTCCACATCATAACAGACTGCAAAAAAAAAAAATCCACAAGCTACTCCATTCATTACCTGCGCATCCTTGCCCTCGAGCTTGAACCAGTCGTTTCCAGCAACATCCTTGACGTCATATGACTGACTAGAGTGCCAGACACGTTGACGCATGATAAAAAGCTCAGGCTGTTCGGGCTGGAAGGTTACATACTGGTTCCCTAGAGCACTGATCGGCTTCGAGGGCATGGCGGGCGCGTCAGGCGGGCGTCTCTTGCCGCAGCAGCTCTCGACCGCGCCCATGTCTTGTGGTGGATTCTGGAGGACCCCCTGAAATTACTACGGCGAGTGCTACGGGGTCATGACCTCCCTAGTACATAGGGGGGTAGGGGTCTTCAATGGATTTTGGCTGGTGGGGGGTACAGGGTGGATTCATGGGGTGGTGGATGGGAGGGGGTACGGTAGAGAATATCTCAATTGTACGACTGGTGAAGACCCAAAGCTCAAGGTAGGGTGGTTTCGTTGAGACCGGGTAGGGTCATCGTGATATGAGTGAGAAGCATAGGTAGGTCGTCTTCACAATGGAGGGGTGGGGTGACTGCCAGAGGATGGTATACCATAGGGTGGGTCATCTTAGAGGGGGGGTAGGGATGAATGGAGTTCTATTTATGGGGGGACCTCAGAATTTGTAACGGCCGGTCTGTGCGGGCCCGGCATTTTTGATGAGGCGAGCCCGACGACCGGACTAAGTAACTAATAAGTTTGAGAAATCTGATGAGGCGCCCATGTAGTCGAGTGGGCGAGGGCCATGGACGATCAGCGATGGGCAGGATGCCGCGGGGCATTCATGCTGACGATGTCGAAGTATGAGCAGCACTGATGAGAACTATGAGGTCGAGGAACAAGAGGCCTCGTTCGATCTACAAGGATCTTCTGCACTTTGCTGCAGTCTTCATCTCAGCACTGGTTGTTTCCTCCTTCTATGCGTACATGATAAGCAGAACTTTCGGCAATACCTACAAGTTGGAGACCGAAGAATTGGAAATTATTCTAAGGACTTACCGCTCCTCTCAAGAAATCTCAGGCGAACCCAACACGGTGCCAAGAACATCAGAAAGTAAATCTTACTTCCTTGCTGTTGCGTTTGTGATGTTTCTTCCCACTAGACGGAAACCAGTTACCATCGAGTTTGCCTCCAAGTCAGAACGAAGTGAAGAAGGCGGAGATCACTGTACCGCAGGCATATCAGGTGCCACCTAGCTTGGGACCTATCAAGCATGTCCAGCAGGCATATCAGGTGCCACCTAGCTTGGCACCTATCAAGCATGTCCAGCAGGCATATCAGGTGCCACCTAGCTTGGGACCTATCAAGCATGTCCAGCAGGCATATCAGGTGCCACCTAGCTTGGGACCTATCAAGCATGTCCAGCAGGCATATCAGGTGCCACCTAGCTTGGGACCTATCAAGCATGTCCAGCAGGCATATCAGGTGCCACCTAGCTTGGCACCTATCATGTATGAAGCGAAAAAGCCGCCCACTATTGAACCGCGCAGAGCCGGATTGAGGATTGCAATCTTAATAGCCTCAGATCTGAACTACATTTCAGGGCAGTACCAAAACCACTTTGAGTCTGCACAGTGCTATGCTCAGAAGAACGGATACTCGCTCATTCATGAGGAAGATGGCGACCTGTTTCGTCGTCACCTCGCTGTGAAGAAACATCTCGTTAATTTTGACTGGATCTACCAAGTAGATGCCGATGTCATGTTCGTGAACTTTGACAACAAACTTGAAACGTACATCATGAGGGCTGGAACTGCCGACATCATCTATCCTATGAGAATAATCAATGGAGAGATAGTTGCTGGTGGGTACCTTGTACGAAACTCAGAGTGGTCACGAAACTTTCTTGAGGAATGGGGCACGAGAGGAAGCAATCATCAGTTCCTAGCTATTCGTAACTCGGTAGTCGAAAATGCTGATAATGGTTTCTTAATGCAGTTGCTGACATTCAAATTGTTTGTGGAAGAAGAGACAGGAGACATGAAGGAGAATGGGAAACGGTGCGTGGAGCTGTTCAACCAGGAATACAATCGTGGAAAATGCTGTCTCTCCTCCTTGATGGCAAACAGACGGCGTTTCAAACATGTCTGGATTCTACGACGTGGCTCTGGATTCTTCAGGGATGACTTCGTTGGATCCTTCTTCTTCAAGGAAGATCTTTCGATTCACCACAAGGGCAGGTGGAAAAAGGAGATGGGATCAAACTTCTTTATGGATACAGCGAAACAGTGCAGGAACTTCAGTGGCGCTGTACTTCCCAACCTTGTCTTGAGCGGAGCTTTCAGAGATCGCCTGCTGTGCGAGACTGATTTCACCTTTGCTCAAGCAGGACATGCAGGGCAGTTCAATCCAGACATTTACCAGTGCTTTCCTGATTGTCCCGATGAGGTTCCAAGAAACCTTCACATACCGACGATGCAGGTAAGACCTTCCCCCCCCCGAATAACAAGGCAGACTGAACATTTGCATGTAGGAATGCAGCTTTCTGTCAAACTTCAACCCTCCTCTTGCGAACCCGTGCAAATCTATCCATTGGAAGGTGACTTCTCGAGATAGTGATCTCTACACGATTTACCGAAGTTTTGTGGCGGATGGAACCATGTGGTCATTGTTCTGATGGAGCACAGTTTCGCTTCAAGTTCTTCTGGAGTGTCTTCGCGAATGTAGCAGTATTGAAACAGTATTTAGTATATTTCCTCTTCCTTTCTACTTCCTTTAACACAGAGTTGTGAAGCTTTCAAGTCATCGGATCTTGTACGCTTTCACTTGCTGTCTTGTTGGTTCCAACCGTTTTCGCTTTCTTCCCCTCGCCCACACCAACACCGTCCTGTAGATCTCCTTGTTACAAGTTCAACAATACATGGTCAACAACACATGATGAAACTGGGTTTTAACTGCTCTCTTGTATTTCACCCCAATCAGTGTTGTGCCGTTCAGATCCCTGTTTACGGCATTGGACACAAATTGTTACGGGGGTCGTGACAAAGGGGGTCGTGACAAAGGGACGTGACAGGCAGGAAAATCTTGCAGGTTCCTCCTGCTAGAAAGGGGCAGAAGTGCGAAGATGGAGGAACGGACGAGGACGAGGAAGCGGCGGACGTGGAAGCAGAGAGGAGGAGGAGGAGGTGGCAACGAAGGAGAGAAGGACGGGAGATGAGGACGCAAAGGGTGTTGTAGAGGACTCGAGCAGGGAAAGGGGTTGAAGGAGGAGGAGAAAAGCGTCAGACGATGAGCAAGATTAGAACTCCGACGAGAGGAAAAGGAGGGAAGAGGAGAAGGAGGGAGGGGGGAGGGGAGGGGGAGGAGGAGGGGA